AACAAAAATCCCTGCAACATAACCAAAATTCTAACTCAGGACTCTTCACTAGCTTTGCTGCTTCCTGCATCTGGGCATGTGACAGATACAATTCACGTTACTTAAGGCACTCCTATTCTGTATAGAGCAGAACAGACCCAGAACTCTGAAATGTGAATAAGGTCATAGTCACTGAAAAATTTGAAACATATCCTTGCCATTCAGCCAGCTGACCACTAGCTGTCCCCATTGCTTCACAGGAGTAAACGATCAGTGTTGGAACTGGAACGAAACATCCCTCCAAAAATGAGTACTGCTACTTCTAGAGGGGAAAAAAAATGAAAGCTCAGAAAAATTAAAACGACTTACTACAGTTCTGTCAGTCTGTAGATAAGAAAATGGATGTGTAGGAGAAGGCCTACATCCCAGGACAGTGGTGTGGTTACAACCTGAGACAAATCAGCATGGAAGGCTTAGGATACAATCTTAGCAGATCTATGGCTTTATGACATGACAAAGGAAAGTCCTGGAGACCCATTCATGGAGCAGAATAGGAATAATCAAAGTGGACCAGAGCATTCCAATGTTTCTGTGTAGTCTCTGACCACAGCCATCACATCATCATCATCTGCAGCATCTGATAAAACCACCTTAAGAGATATTTTCCCCACCAGTATATATGGTGGCTGCTTCTTCCTAAGCTCAGAATATAGCAACTATGCAAACTTAGAACTGGAAAAATGTATCTCAGAAAAGTCATAGGGTGAAGGTGTTTTAGGCTCATCTCAAAACCATAAAGTTCTTTCCTCTCCTGAGGATTCAGGACAATTTCTCATCTCCATTCATCTTTTAGCTTCTCAATGTGAGCCCAGAACACAGAATTGTTAACTATATTTGTTAGATCTACAAGATTTTGGATTTGGTCTCTTCACAAATCAACTTGGAGAAATCTTATTACATATTGATAATGGTTGGGATTTATTATCACATAATAGATGCTATTAAGAAGGCAGAATAATATTTTACAAGGCAAATAATTCCACCTTAATTGCCTTTTTAGCCTTAATGCTGCTACTCACAAAAGAATGATGAAAGACTGTATATGCTTAATAAAATTTATGTTATAAATTTGGATGCTATTTATTGCTTTTGTTCAGCCTTTGTAAATCAGACCCATTATGTGCTCTATAATATTTGCTCATAAAAATCAAAGACAAGGCAATGTCATTTCTAATGTGCCAGGCCTCCAGTACACCCCTCTAGCCAGTGAAACTGCTAATAGGCCATACAAGGGCCGTTGTCACTCAAGTCAGCTATTTAGATCAGAATCTACCCCCCCCCCCCCCTTTTTTTTTTCTTTTTACAGTCAAGCAAAGATGAGAAGGGTCATAAAGGTTAAGATTACTATATTCTTCAAAATATAGTTATAGGGAAAACAGTCAGGAAAGAGAGACAGATTCCTGCTTTGTTACTCCAAGCTTCTGCTCTGGAGGGACCTCTCTTCTACTCCACCACTATCATTCCTGCACGCCAAAGCATAATGCACTAAACCAAAATGTTTGCAGAGAGCTTTATGCAGAACAGCAAAATTAAATTCAGAATTGTCAGTGCAGGATTGTTAGCAAAATAATATAAGAAGTAAAATGTGAGTTCTAAATTTCACCAAGTTGGAGAGGAAGAGTTCAGAATTCAAAATATATTGGCAATTTTCTTTAAAAAGGGCTAAAATCCTGAACAAAAATTCCTCTTGGTTTGAAATCTACAATTTAGTTCCAAATTCTGAACTTTGCTGTATGTAGTATTAATGTAGACAAAAATGTTGGGCATCCAATGCGCCACTAGCTACCTACTGAATGCCTGTGTGAACTGTGATCTTTTTCACATATGAATGCACTCTGTTAGTGCATTCTAACAGACTTTAAGCTTTATTCACCAAAATAAGTAGCTCCAAATACTGTACACATATAGTACTGTGTACAAACACTTTACAGACGTAACAAGTAACTGGAGAAACTTCTGAAATTTTTTTTCCAGAAGCAGCTTTCACTGAAGAATGGCATGTTTATAAAGGATTGGGTATACATATTGACTGATGTCCCCAAGACGACACCTGTTACTAATACATATTCTTGCTAGAAAGTATGAAAAGCAACTCAAATCCAAATCCCTTTATAATTTGTGTTTGAGAACCTATTAAAACATTTCATTTTAAATTAACTATATCAGCATGTCATTATTCACATACCCCCAGCAGTTAAAAAACATGTAAGTCTAAAGACTGGTTCAACTAATAGGTTAGATTCAAATTATATAAATTAAAAAAACTTGGACTACCCAAAACCAAAATACAGCTTACTGAAACCAGACCAACTTAGGGTACTTGGGAATCCAAAGGAAACCGTTTCCTGCTCAGTGGTCACAGCATGTGGCCAGAGGAGTAAAGTATCGTCAGTTGAACAATCATATATTCTAAAGTACTTTCTTCAAGCAGTATGGAACAAGGAAAACAGTCTCCTTCCATGTCAATATACACATGCTAGTCAAAAGCATCAAAAGGTATTTTTATGTCATAATTACAATTTTTTTCTAATAAACATGAATAAACACTACTGTAGTACTTTCAGTAGCTTCATGAACCAAATTATACCATTATGAAAAAAATGATCAAAATGTTTCTCATGTAACCATGTTGCAGTAGGATAGAGAATGAATGCATGACAATAGTCTGGTGTATCCAACATTCTTGAACACTGAAGAAAAGCAGATCTAAATCCAAACCATGCAGTGAGACCCAGCCCTTCTGCAGCATTTTATGCTGTCAGTACATTAGGTAGCTAAGGCCTGCAGGAAAAGTTTTGTCAAATGAACATAATGAGAACATTTTCCAGGCAGCTGGAGGGCTACAACTAATGCTACTGTAAATGAGCAAATGCTGCTTCTTCCTCTGCCTGATTTATTGGTACACCTGCATTCAGGAGAGGTATAGAAATGCTTAAAAGGATGAGTCTTCAACAGTTTTTAAGAGGAGGAAAGGAAACTGAAATCAAGTTACAACAAAAAAATGTAAAGAATCTTTCTTTGTAACTATTTCAACAGATTATGAACTTGAGAGCTACCAAGCAACCACATTGCTCTAAGCGATTGAGAAAGGAAGTGAAACACTCCAGTAAAAAAAAAGAGAGAGAGAAGAAAAAAGAGTTATATATAGATCATGCTACATTTAAATCCCATTGCATTGGTAACTACAGACACAGGCTGCCTAGAGACACCTAATTTGTAATTAGACAAATATGATTTATTTTGCTGATATAGGAGAATTAAGCTGTTCAGATACATGATGTACTGATTATTGACTTCCCTAGGTTTTAGGAGTCTATACCAGCAGCTATACTTGGTCATTTTGAATGGCCAGCTGTCACAGATGTGTAAATTGCAACTGAATAAGCTCACATATGCTAGCAGAAGAAACAGCTTCTGCCAACTTCCCCCCACCTAACGATTTTTAAAATACCTTTCAACAATTATGCTCGCAAAACTTCATCCTCCAAAAACTCACAAGAAGCAAGAAGTAAAAGAGCACAAGTTGTACCCAAGTGCACAGTAGGAAAATCTTAAATAGTCGGAGAAAGTAGCCTGTTCTTCTCCACCTAGCCCAGAAATTAACAGTTAAAAAAAAGGTTTTTCCACAACTACAGCCACAACCCATCTTGTGAATACAGCCTAAGGACACCATTCTCTTACAAAGGGAAACAACGGTATTGTCAGGTGTGCGAAGTGATTCTTTCCTCCTGAGAACCAGGAGGAACCCATAAGTTTAAATGGTGTTAAAGTGCAAAAGACTCTCAAAGAAAAAATACACCTCTGAACAAAGAAAAAACTCATTATACTTTGCACCTGTTTAAGAAAAAAAAAATCCTTTTAACAAGTTGGTTCATTAATAAAGGTGCAATTAAGTATCACATCATTAAAGGAACAGGGATGAAAACAGAGTAAATTCTCATTAAGAGACAATGCTAAGGTATCTATCTCATTTAAAAAAAAAAAAGAAATCAACACTTTCTCTCCTCACTTCTGGTTATAGATAATCCATAGGAATTTGTTACTTACAAACATAGGATTGCTCCTGAAAGTTAGGAAACTGCTTTTTTGAGCTAAAAAGCTAGAATTTGCTCCCATATTTCTAAGAAAAGGTGTTACTTATTGTGAACAAGCACAACAATGAGAACAGAAAAACCTTTAGGGAAAACTACCACTCATTTCAATATCACAAACAAGACATAAGCATAGGGAAAGTGACAAATTTTGCATTCTCTCAATAACAGATTCTCTTTCTGTTAACATTGTAAGTTAGAATAGAGAAACTTCAATCACTGTGGCAAGCAGCCAGCTCATGAATAGGCTTGCTAACATCAACAAGACTATTCGTATGAACAAATGCTCAAAATGACTATGAGACTTCTTGTATATCCTTTGTAATGTTAAAATCAGTAGGATTACTGTCGTTTCTAAGTGCTCTCCCACATGGACTAAGAGCTGAAGTCAAGAAGAGTGCTCATGTGAGAAACTATGCAAGAGCTGCAGTTAAAGACTGAACTGGTCCTTTGTTTTCAGTTTAAGAAAATAATATAGCACATTCTCACAAAAGAACTACGAGACTAGCAGATACCAGGCTTTAACTAACTATAACCTAGTGCCTGAAGTTAGATTCTGACATGTATTGCTCAAGAAAAATACTACTTCTACTGTCTGAACAGTTATTGGTTAACTAAGTATGCAACTCTGCTTGAAGACCACAAGATTTCAAACTACATTCGAGAAGTATAGAACCGGGATGGTAATACATAAAGGATCTGTGAGAAAGGAAGCACTAGAACTAGCAGCAAGGTGGGGTTGCCTGCATGGTCAGCCCTTCATTTGAATGCAAATGTAATTTTGGGGCAGGCAGTTATCTGTGACATCAGGCAGGACCTTAGTAAACTGTTACCACCAGCACCTGGTAAAACCATTGTTAATCATGTGTAGTAAAGGGACATCAGGGCTAGCATGAGTCATTTATAGAGCCAGTCAGGGCTAGAAAAGAGAGAGAAAGAAAGAGGAGGGGAAGAGAGATCAAACAAACACTCTGAGGAGCAGGATGTCCCAGCAAGACAAAGCCAGGCTGTGAGCATCATGTATGTGAGTTATCTTTTGGATAAAGAAACCAGCATGTATCCAGGATCTGCAAGGTGCAGCAGCAACAACCTGCCAGTGCAAAACTTTGTGTCTACTCCACCCTATTCAGATTACATGGGATATCATCATGTGCCAACTCTGGACACCCATGGACAGCCTGCGGGAACCTGGGGATCTCACTATGGCCCACAGAGGGAGGACTGGAATGCTTATGGCCCAGGACCTTCCAGCACGGTTGCTGCTGCACAGATCAATGGCTCATCTCCTGGGCAGGTCTCCTACAGTTCTGCTGATTACAGCTCCCTCCATCCTGCTGGATCTGGGGGGTTACCTCCTGTAGATACAATTAATACACAGCAAATCTCTCCCAACAGCCAAAGGCACAGCTCTTACGAATGGATGAGGAAAACGGTGCAATCTACTTCTACAGGTATGAGGGCACTGAGGTTTTATGCTGAGAAAAGATTTTACTTTTTTTGCATTGTTGGGTTTTTTTGCCAGGTTCCCTGTTTAGAGGGAAGCGTACAGTTTAACAAAGAAAGATCCTAACTGCTCTGAAGGATTCTCTTGCTAGCAGTTAAATATTGGTTCGATTACTGGATGCTGGTTTTGATCAGCTGACTATTTCTTGTATTTCTTTCTTGACCTTTAATGCTGAGCCAAATGAAAAGCAATGCCCTTTGACAGTGAAGTATTTTCACTTCAGATATGTTTAAAAAAATTGTGATATCAAATAATTGCTTTTAATAGGAGTCCTATAGATTGGAATGAAGCAGCGTGTCTGCAGAAAGAAATCATGATGAAAGTATTTCACCACCACATATACTTTGCTTATTTTCCTCAAGTTTTAGAGTACATATGAAAAGTTCAAGTGAAATATATACAGTAGGGGGGGTGGAAATAAGGCTTTGTATTAGAAATAACCTCTCTAAACCTCCGAACACTGAAATGAAATGAGATCTGCAAGATCAAACAATGAGTCAATGCTTTAAAAACAGGAATGATAAGGAAAGGCTTGCTTTACTTTGTAGTAGTAGCTCTCAGAATATGCAGGAATACAGAGATCCACGGTAACACAATCAGTTAATACAGTGACAGATCAGTGTCTGATGCATAATAGTCAATGAGTACAAAACAAATCTTCAGTTGTATTTAACCAGTAAAAGTAAGTCATGAAGCATGAGACAAAGATTCTGTTTGATTGTGATGTGGAACAATAGAAAAAATATAAATATTGAGCATCCCTAAAACAAAAATCTGTACCTTCTATGAATAGAAAAAAATGTATGAAACAAGAAAGGGGAGAAGGAAAAGAAAAAGGGAAAACTGCCTGAAAAGAACATAGGCACAATCCACTACATAAAAGTATTTGATGCTCTGAGGTGCTGAGCAGCTTTGACATGCGCTGAGATCAGTAGAAATTAAGGATGCTCAATACCTCCCCTAAAGAGATGCTCACAGTATTTCAATGTTACATCCCAGGAAGGTTCCTTTCCTTTCAGCCCTTCTTCCCACCCCAGCTCTGTTCCACACATGCCTGTAAATAATAGTTTTCAAAGCAAGTACTGAATCAGTCTGATGGAGAATTAATTACTTAAAACATACTTTAGAAAAGTGAAAGCAACTATATAGCAAAATTCTCTGTATTAAAATAATACATCCAATTTATACGGACAGACTGAGTCATCCTCACTCCCACTAAACACAACTTTAGTTCATAGAGAGTCCGTAGAAGTCAATAGACAATAAGAGTAGGTTGTTATTCCGGGTAAATAAGAATTGGGGGTGGGGCAGGGGAAGTAATCAATATTTTTAAAATCATAGTTGTTCTTCACTGAATACTACCCAAGAAAAAACAAAAGAGGGCCGGTCTTGAAAAAAAACTTACAGCTTACTTTTGAGTAGTCCTTACAGGGGCAATGAAATTGCTCACAAACTGTATGATTTACAGATGGCAGAATACCTGTTCAAAAAACCCACTACTACTCATCTCTTCTTTACCTACCTGCCTTTTGCTCCTGTGGATTTAAATTGCAGCCTCTCTGAAAGACCTGATTTGATCTGTCAGTGCTACCCTTTTTATAGTGGGGACACTGTGAGATAGATGCATAAAACAGACAACACCACATTCTAACTGCCTGCTTAAGAAGCATGCTTAGGGCTTTCTAACTTTCCAAATTTCAAGCCTGCAAGGGTCAGAGCATTCACAGGAGGTGCTGGGAGTCTCTCCATTCTGGAATGGTCCAACAAGATATTGAGCATCTTAATCTCAAAAAGAATTGAAGAAATCAGCGTGTCATAGGAGCATATCCTCCAAATGCCCATGGGCCAGTGTAAGGCCCTCTGAAGTTAGTGGGAGCCTATCCATTCATACAATAGGTGCTGGGTTGTGCTTTAGGGAAAAATCCAGATAAGTAATTCTCCTGCTGCTTCTTTCCCTCTTATTTTTTTTGCTAGGCCAGGAATGCTCAGTGCCAGTAGATCTGCTTCACTGGAGTCAGTTCCTTTTTCTTCATTCACTCCCTTTTTAAAAGCAAGGGCACTTTTGTTTTTCCCATTTTCCAAAAAATAAAATAATTTTTAAAAATTTGTCTAAACAGCAATGTCAGATCTAGCAATGCACTTAAGTGAGTTTGGTTCTGAGCGTGCAAGTGTTGCAAGTGGCTTCAAATGCATGACTAGGCTAACTGCAAGTACCAATGTCGTTTGCTGGATCATGATCAAAATCCTCAGCTTTTTCTTAGATGAATCCATTGCTTTTTACATCCTTAAAGCTGTATGCATACAGTGAGCATTACCCTTCCATCTCTTTGCAAAACCTTTAGGAATTTCACTAAAGGTTTTGTACAGACAAGAATGAAAGAATCACACCTATTATTTATTAGCTTTCCTTAAATCCTGTGAATACGAGCCACTATCTTAAAGATGGAAAAACTGAGGCTCAGACTTACCTGAAGTGATAAGAACAGAAATTAGGCAAGTTCATTTTATTATTTGTTCATTACTTGTTGCAAAATACTAGTTATCAATAATAATATTATTTCACTATCAGAACAATAATTATTAAGGCAAGTGATTTTTGCACGATACTCTTGAAAGTGTACAAGAAATGTTCCTGTAATCTTATCCCTTTAAGATCAGGAAAAAGTCTCTCCAAAGGTTTACTTACATTGAGTAATCTGACTTGTAACAGCTACAGAAACAGGGCCCAAAATCAATGACATTTCCATCTCCAGAGATTTCATGAAGACACCACTTCTCTTATTGGTGCTTTGTGGCCTCATGACCTGACAGATGACAAACAAAATACTTTATTGAAATTTCTACCACTGCCTCATGCCCTACAGGTCTGTAGATACTCTGTTATCTACACAACTAACCCGGAACAAAAGAAGAAATTAATTCAAGTTTTACTCTGTAACTTTAAAAACAACATCCGATATAAAACCATGTCTTCAACTGGTCTTAAGTGAAGTTGATGAGGTTACATTACATTACTTGAAAACACTCAAAGATCTCAGTATTTAATGTGAGACTATCATTCTGGTTTAGCGTTACTGGGATGCATTTCCCGCAGAAAAGACCTACTAAGGCTTTCTTTCATCCATCATTCTTTCTCAGGTTGAAGAATGTCTGAATGTCTCTCCCTGCAGCTTTGGAACTGGAGGGACTGGGACTTGATCCTGAATGCAGTGCACGTAGCATCCAAAGCATAGTCACTGCACTCTTGAGGGTGTTCAGGATACAGGAGAAAGCAAATGTGTTTTGACTCAGAACACTTGAAGGAGGAAACACTAACTATTTAGTATTTTCAAGCAAGAACAACGATTGAAAAAGACCTTTCTCTAACCCTTATACTGCTCCTGTCCCCTGTCCTAAACCCCTACTTTAAAAGAGCGAGCAAAGACAAGACAACTAGCAATTGTAACAGAGAACACAACAAAGCCACAACAACTAGAGATTTGAGGTGGCAAGTCCACACACACATAAAGCATAATTACACGCAAATTCTTAGATGGAAAGTAGAATAAAACCACCTTAGAAAAAGTTACAAATCTCTTCCTGTTGATTTCAATATTTTTATGGAGGTATGCAAACACTGACAGAGGAGTAGACTCTACTTTTTGCCTTTGTGAGAAAACAATATACATCTGTGGTAAAACTATGCCCAAAACAATGATTTTGAACAGTTAACTACCAGGCAGTTTCAGCAGCAATGAGTATTTGCTCACAAAGCTGGAAGTACATCTTAAGATCTTCAGTTACCATAAAACAGGGAGGGAACAAGTTTTGAAACTGAGGTAAACTAATTATGAGCAGGGACTTTTCCCATAGATGACAACTCTCCTATCATTCTTGTTCAATAAAAATTTACTCTAAAGACATAAAGACAGTTTTTCTGATGATGATGACAACAGGTGCTGATAGCATCATTACTAAATGGACTATAAACATATACCATTTAGTCTTTGAAGGAAGAAGTTGTAGTCCCTCAAATCTAAGGAAGAGAAACAAGCCTTTTAAGAAGCCATTCCTGCAAAATGCTGAATCCCTAAAGAACACACAACACTTGGAAAAAAATTCAGTTAATCACTTGCTTTTTAGTCTATACAGTCACTGGCAATGGGATTTCCTCTGATCTTGCCACTTAGAAATCGTCCTTCTGCAGGTTGGGTCCTTCTCCCAAACAAAATCCATACAGGGTTGCCTGTCCAATCACTGCTTAAAGGTGATAAAAATTACTCTGCTTTGGATTCAATTACTTATGTATGACGAAGATGAATAGAAAAGTTTACACTAGCAAAGGGAGTGACAGAATTTGGCCAATGAGCTTTATTACAGAATAGCAGAACATATTCAAAATTGAAAACATTAGCATTTTAAATAGAAGTCAACAGAACAGAAGGGAAAATTCTTCAAGTCTGTTGAAAAGTTCCAATTCTATGATCCTATTCTGTTCTTTTCAGCATGAGTCATCTGAACATGTTTAACAAGAACAAATGATCAAGACCCAGCAGAAAGCACAAACATAGAATTTCACCATGTTTCACAAACCTTTATGCATCCAACTTTGCAATAACAAATAGTCCTACTCATCACACCAAGACTTCTGGCAGGAATATTATTACTCACATTATACAGGATTGGATCCATGTAACATTTTCTAATACAATGGCAGAGTGTCATTTTTTTTGTATTTAACTTTACAGAACACCATGTGCAGAACAATGTCCATCTTCAAGATTTATTTGAAATTACTTTTGCTTCACAACTTCAATTAAGTCAGTGAAATTACACTAACGAGAATTTGCCCCTTTCTTTTCCTATACTTTTCAAGTGCATAAATATTTAGAAATAGTCCTAAAACAAAACTCTGGGGCCTGATCTCTGACAGTCCATATCTTTATAAGCTCAAGACCTAACACTAATCTCTCTCTCAATACTAAGCTAACAAAGATGCAGATTTGAACTAAACATATCTTCAGGCCAGAAAGCTGTTCCATATTTCGAGCTGATTTAAGCTAACTTCCAATCATCAAGTACAGACATTAACTTCTTCTGAAACAATGTTAAACTACGGAATCCAAATTACAATGCTTTGTAGAGTAATCCAAGAGTAATCCAACACTATTCCATACTACAACATCTTCTGTCTAAACTAGGTAGCTTCTGGATTTTATGAATATTGCCAATTTCAGTAGACGAAGAATATTCCTGTAAGGTTAAAGAGAGGAGGCACTGAAAAAGGGGGCCAGGGCTAGTTCTAATGCTAATTTATTTTGCTTTGTAAACTAGTTGTGAGGTCTGATGGTGGAAGTTTTTTTCCTTTCCTGGGCTACATTGTCTGAGGTTTTGAGGCCTATCTGTCATATTGAGGCAACAGACCCTTTTAACACTTCACTTTGCTTTGATATGCAGTCTTGTCTCTTCCTTCTCCCTCTTTTCTTCAGGAGTTATATTGCCGGAAAGGGTGATGATTTTCACAGCAAATAAAGAGGCCTTCTCCTAGCTTTATTGTCTTCAGAAGAAATGCTCTCCGAATTTTATGACCAATGGGAAAGCTGTTCCCTTCCCCCAACTCAAAACTTGGCCAGTCACAAAAATTGCTAGAGTGGGTGTGATAGAACAGGGTTGTTAAAACTGTTTCTCATGAAAAGTTTTCTAAGTCTGAAATGTCTTATTTCTTATTACTCCAAAGACACTCTTCAATAGTCACTACTTGCAAAATAGGTTTTTGACAAAACTCACTGTTCTTAAATAGCTCATTAAAACCCGGAAATCCACTCCCCCAACACAAAGGCAGTCATACTGCAAAGGTAGTTGCTTCAAAGCTCTTTTGTTTCATTTTTCTTCCACCCAACTACTACTAACCTCTCCAACCACTTGCAATTCCATAGTATAACTGTCCATGACAGAACACATTTCCAATAAAACTGACACTATATTGTTGATTAAAATGATAATCTGTCACTAACAAAAGATTAAGATTGTAGAAAGTTAAATGTTGGTAATTTCACTCACCTAAGTGACTAAAATATGCAGGATTTGACTAAAGAATTGGATTAAAATATTAACTTTTATCATTGCATCATTAAATTCTGCCATTATCTCCTAAAGAAGTCTGAGAAGTGAAGAACATCCTTCTGCTGTCTCTGGGGTGAATCCATTAGTGCTACCTCAAATTTTATTCAGGTAATATTTCTCCTTGAAACAAAATGCATCACTGTAAATAAAACCAGTAGAAGGTCTGCAAGACTTGGCTTAGAATGCAGTAGAGTGGATCTACTCCATCTAACGGATGGAATTTAGAGGCTAAAATCCCCAAGTGTTTAGTGATAGGTTTTGTTGGAGCTGTTTGTTAACTTTGGCAAATAAAAGAAAAGTGTACTTTGCGTTTGAAAGGAAATGCCATATGCAGACTAATTCCAACCCAGCATCCAACAAAGGCATTAAGAAGACTCTCACTGACATGAATGAGAGTCTGGCTAAAGGCCTAACAGACTAAACCATGACTCTGCCAGAACTAAAAGTATCCTCTCAGAAAACCCTGGAGGATCACAGCTCCCATTGTCTGTTGTCTCTCACAGAGGGTATTACTCTACACAAAAAAATCAAATTATTAATGACAAGATTTATGTGACAAATCATAGAGAATTTTTCTCAGATTGTTGTTGACTTTTAGGAAGAAAATGTTCTCCTTTTGCTTTTCTACTTTTTAAATTATTCTCTTAACTTACTTGAAAGAAAGAAATTAGATGTGAAAGCTCCCAATCTTCCTTCAAAAAGAAACTAGATATTATCATTCCTACTAAAAATAAACTGAAAGCTACTCATATGAAAATAAAAGATTTTATGGAAGAAAGTTCTGTTTTCCATATACATTTAATTTCTTCTTCAGTTTAAAAAGCAAAAAAACCAACCCTCTCCTACTCAGATAATAAGGGTTTCAGCAGTTAAAACCAGAAACAGAAAGGTTTATCTTGAAGTTTACCACCTTGTTTTGGCAACAGAAGAACATTTGATATTTGTCTATGGCTTGTGAATAAGAATAGAGTTCAAGATAAGATCAACTTGGTCGCTCTTTTGTGTACTCCATCTTAACAACACAAAGGAGACTAAGGAAACATTTTAAACATTTTGTCCCATAGAATGACCCCAAATTTTCATTTAAAGAGGAAAAAAACCCTAACCAAACCACCAGCTACAGAGATGAAAAGTTAAAAAATATCAAGTGAGGCATTAAAGCACCACAGGTGACCATATGTTAAACAAACAATTTACACTTCGAATGAATGAAAACAAATGTCCTAGTATTTTTGTGGACTGAACTGAGTAACTGCTGTTCTTTAGAGACTCTAAAATTCTTACCATAATGTTGTAAAATTAACAGCACTTTTCACTTGATTATCAGTGTAAACATAATTGGGCTAATTCTGCTTTCACTACAGTTTCATAATGATAGAAATGCTACTGAAATGAGAATGTCCTATATATCTACCCCAGCCAAGCACAGCACAGAACCCTCACAGGGAAGTTAACAGATTTGAGTCGAAGTGGTTCTGGCTGCACGGATTGAGCAGAAACCCCAGTGTAAGGAACAAACACAAACATGCACACACCTATTTTCCCTGTTGAAATATTCCAAGTAAACAGGCTGATGGCGTCAAGACAGTTGGAAAATGCCCATAGCATTGTAAACTCACTATTAATGCATAGTGCTTTCCCAGGGTTGAACACCATGGAGCATGGAAGGTGAAGGATCAAATTCTGATGTAGACTTTGTTCCACAAGCCTGGGAAGAGTCCTAGGGAAAACCTGTTACATAAGGTGAACCAGTTATTATCCACAACCAGAGGTGTAACAATACTTGTTTACAGCATTGCACTGACCAGGACTTCCAGTGCTAAACAACTCTGTATCTAGGATCTATACAAACAGTACAAAAGGGATCAGAGCCTGAAGAACCTCCTAATGCAGGCAATACTTTGGTGAGCCAAAAATTCTTACAAGTAGCAAAGTACTGACTGTCAAACGCTAGAAGAGAAAAAAGTGGTATGGCTCTCAAGCCATGCCCATACAGTATATCCCACAAGTGGAAGGCAATATTAACTTTAAAACATACGGCCATGACAACAAAGAGACATCACATCTTCCTCCACCGATGGAGGAAAAAAATTAACTCATGAAACCAAATCATGAATTAAGGGAGAAAGATTCTGCTATAGCTCTGTACCCTGAGTTCTGATATTTGGGTGCTGCTTCAGCTTCAAAAGCAAACAGAGTTGGAAGGAGGGGCTGGGGAGAAATCGGGCCTTTAACACCATCGATACATGACACCTCCAGCTATTCTCTCCTGCTGGGGGGAAGCTGGCTGCTTTGGGGCAGTGTGCCGTGGTGATCTACTCGGAGACTCAAATTTTATGAACTCAATCCCTGAAAATCTATTTCAGTCCTCTCCATTCAAAATTAACTGCTCTTATTAGGAGTGCAATTATTATTAGTTTGAGGAACCGATTTTTTGAAGAGCTAGGCATCCACACGATCTTTTCAGAAAAAGATCTGTGAGCAAACATTAGCTGTTGTATGAAGCTAAGCAGCATCTGCAGGAATAGCAGACTGTTACAGGCAAAAAGCCACAATATGCCCCGAGTTTTACGCGTCATCTGAGAGAACCTGAATCTAAGGGGGCTGTTCTACTGTAGCGACCACTATGGACACAAAGATTGACAACCTACAGTACCACAGCAGAATACAATGCAAAAAAATACCAACTAAAAATACATTCCCTGTCCCAGATAATTTAGAGTCTAAATATACACATCTGAAGAAATGTCCATATAAATACAGACCTTTCAAAAATGTATGAAGACCTTAGGCTAGGGCTCTGGGGCCTTGGTTTTAAGCAGGTGTTGATCTCTGATATACTGATTGCCTAATATGAACATTAATAACAGAGGAAAGGTGGGTAAGAAAGAAAGCATCAGTAGCCTTTCCCATTCTCAATTCTCTTTCACTACTGCCAATGCATTCTGTGCTCAGAAATTATCCTGTATGGAATCCATAAAATTTCAGCTCCTTGCATCTGTGTTCACTGGCTCATGTCATTCGCCATTACTTTTTAACAACCCGGATACCGCTGAGCCATGTCTGCTTCAGTCAGCTGTACCCCCAGCTGAAAGGATGCGGCAGTGCTGCTTGCAAAAGAACAGCTGCTGGAGTTCTATTATTTTTAAATGTCCTTTGTAAAATATTATTGCTTTCTTTTTCTCTTTTTTATTAACTGTCATCTGCAAATCTATGTTACTATTCCCTGTGCTATTATCAAGTTGTGGATAGACTGTGCCAGACTTGAAGGAAAAACACAACAGCCAAATTGCAGTAACAATCACAATATTGTATTAATTTTTCTAGCAACAAGAAGCGAGGAACTTTGGAACATCTCAGTATTTTCTATGCAGTAGAATATCCTTCACAATTTCCCTCTGAAGCAGGTAGCAGTGTATCAGCTTTACAGACAGAGAAACAATAGCAATTCAATGCCAAGCAGGAATTGGGAGCTGGGAACAGAACACAGATTTCCTGGCTCCTTGTTTTAACAAAAAAGCCTTCCCTTTCCCAAATGATAACACAAGGGTGATAAAGGATATGAGAAGCAGTTTATCATCTATTTACTAAAAAGAAACCCAAAATCTGATGGTATGAATCTCTTGTGCTGTAAATCAAGACCGAGTCAAGGCAGTTACTCTGGGTAAGTGCATAGAGAATCAGGCCTAAAATACCCACAAAGATATTTTCAAATGTAAAGCCAGATATTTTGTGTTACTAAAGTTAAAAAATTCTAGCTTGAAGCAATGTGTTCTTCTTTCAAAACAGGTAAAACAAGAACAAGAGAGAAGTACCGAGTGGTTTACACAGATCATCAGAGATTAGAATTAGAGAAGGAATTTCATTACAACAGATACATTACAATCAGGAGGAAGTCTGAACTTGCTGCAAACCTAAGACTTTCCGAGAGACAGGTAGAGTATGGATCACCCATTCAGGATTTCCTTTGAATATATTATTGCTGATGAGGAGATAACCATACTGGTTAAGAACACAAAAATGCTAATGCTTCTAGTAACCAAACAATGCGACTGGGTTCCCTTTGCAGTGTAGGAACTCAGACTATCCAGCTGAACGGCCTGACAGCCTTGTTCACACTCATTTCTAAATATCCCATCAGCACTACTTCAGCTCTTGTCAGGCAGCTGTGCAACAACACAGAAAAAGCAAACACCAGTCTTACATCAGTCCTGTTCTGAGAAACAAGAGTTAAAAAATATCAGCAAAATCCTGCCCAGATTTCTCTCTGGTTTACTGGGGTAGTGGTAGCAGGGAGAAATTTTTGCTGAAATTTCTAAAGCAGAAGTTCTGGTTCTGCTGAAGTCAATGGGAATTCTATAACTGATTTCAATAGGGTCAGTCTTAGCAGAGAATGGAAGTGACGAGCTCAAGTATGTTCAGGACACTTGAAGGTGTTTGTGTCTTTGGCTGCCTTTTACCTTTTGTTAAAAGATTTCCTACATACTTGGTACTCCTTTCTCCTGCCCCTATTTCCTCCAAATTCCAATTCTATTCCCGCAACATAAATCAAAACAAAATCCTTTCTGGTCAAAAGATATATACAATTTGCTCTGGAACCACTCTGTGCCGTGTTCTTCAATCATGCAGTTGTAACACCTGTGCCACCCCCTATCAAAGCAAAGCAGGTACATGGCCTCTAGCTCTCAAGTGCTTCAGATGGCTGATGCAAACCACCAAGATGCCAAGCTAGATCTCCCACAAAGACACTCACAACATGCGCTGAGCGTATGTTTGGTCCCATTTTACATGGGAGTTTCTTGATGCAGTACACTGAAGTAAGCAGCGAAACATAAAATTAAAAGCTTTACTGAAGGATGTCCCTGAATAGATTTCAGGATACAATATGCTCATTTGTTGCCTTTTCCATTACAGCAAACCATCACAGCACTGTTTTCTCAGTTATTATTCAGTATCATTCACTGAAGATTATGCCTGATTCACCATTGTTTTATGGGCTCTACTGAGCAGGGATAGACTAAAATCCACCTAGTTGTAGCACTGTTCATCAAACTTGAACTCGTCTTACACAGCGCACACTGAAAGAGCTTACAGAAATGGAGAAGGAAATACCCATTTTGCAAATATTTCTCAATCTGTTGCTGAATACAAGTATATAATTATTGAAAATTAAAATTATTTTAACCTGGTATAAAAAAAATGTGTCTTTTTGCTGGCTGTTGAAACCTTAATAACTTGACTTCCTTATGCTGAATTTAAAAATTATGACCCTGCTTCTGTAACCGACCAACAATATTTACTTGAAACTTCCTAGTTCAGTGATAATTCCCGATCAACCTTTTTGTTAGTATATTTGAAGTGGTGATACAAAAAAGACGTGATACGTTTCTTTGACATATATTGGGGAAACATGGCAACAGTTTTTCCAATATTTGCTCTTCTTCATCATTCATATATATCATGAATGAAATTAATTCCTGTGCATCAAGCCCAGATCTCTGAAGTCACTTTTGAAAATGTAAGATTAAGAAATACCTGATCTATACTCCCACTACTACCCTTTCACACAAATTAAACAACCCCATCATATGAATACAACTCAACACACACTGTCCTATCCCAAGTTCCACTGCACTCAGCCTAAAACATGAAATCATTTTCTGGAAAGCCTTTTTTCCTGGCTATGCCAAAACCCCATCCAGGACACTGGAAGAAATACCTCAAGACAAAAGAACAATTGTTTAAGCAAGGAAGGAAAGATGTAATATCTAATGAAGGAAAAAAAAAAAAGGCAAACCAAAGCATTGCTAATATAGGAAGGATACAGAAATAAAGGAGTTGACAAGGACAAGAAAGAAGAGAGAAAATTAGACTTCAGAGCAAGAGTTACACAACTGAACAGTGGAAAAAAACATACTGAAAGGAAGGAGGGCAACAGGTGAAGAACAAGTCAGACAGATGCAACTGACCATGTTAGCTTTTAGTCTAACATTACAGATCGGTATTTATTTTTAGTCATTTGATAATTGGCTTATGACTGCGAAGTGCCTACTAAAATTCTCTCTGGATCACTGCTGCAGGTCTGCATCCCTTGTTTAGTAACAAACCAAAACAAAAACCTAAATTCAAAGGCAAGTAAGAACACTGAAGCCAGAAGGTAATTCTGAAACAGACGTTAGTTTGGTTTTTAGACTATTTCATCTTTTCATGCATTTTGGCAAATGCACGGATGAAACTAGATTACCTCAGTACAATCAGAATGCAAGAGATCAGAGAGTATTTGAGATTGATTTAATGGAACATAATTTGGTACTGAAATGATATTCCAGAAACTAAGACAACAAAATGAGCTGCCAAATGTCTCAGATGATAGCCTGGGACTTAAGGGACCTAGTTCAAATTAGCACAAGCTTTGCATGTATCTGAATTCTTCAACTGTAAAATGGTAATAATAACGCCTCAAGTATAAGGACACAAGACTGTCAGAGACTCCTTAAGATGTTTTGTGGGACTTAACCAGTGGTTTTCTTTTAAAACACAACCTAGTAGCTGCAGATATTATCACCTCTTACTGTTTTACCTCCTTTCTGACCATCATTCTCTTTCCCTTTCTAGCTTCTAACAAAGGATAACTAAACAAATAAGTATTTCTCAGCAAACCATTGATTTTTCTTTGGGTTATAGAAAATGGTGACAGAAGTGTTTCCTTTGCCATCTGAACACCATCAAGAAAACACAACATATCTGGATGAGGTAGCCTGACTTACTACACTGCCTAGACATAATACAGAGCCACTTCCAAGAATAAATAGCTGTCATGAACCACTTTAAATCCAACATTGGGGATTCAGGTCCAAAGACATTTCTGTTGCCATAGAATATTCACCCTTTCACACCTGAACAAGTTCTGCTGTATTTTCAGTTGACCATTACTCGTCAACTTCATCTCACATCCTCACTTTTTCCACCCCAGTCAAAAGCCATATACTCTTCACTAGTTACTTCATTGCTTCCCAAAGGTGCCTGCATTTCTCTGATAGAACAATGACTATGGTATAAAGCAGTGGACTGTGCAGGAAGCAGAAGCAGATTCTGGCTCCATCTACAAATGCAAGAAAAGGCACTTAGCTATTAAGGCACCACTTATACAATATTTTGAAGTAATATTGTGTACTAGGAGTACTGCACTGGTGAAATTCTGCTCAAAAGTGTTATTTCCATTGATTTACACATTAGATCTAACCAATTAGTGTGCAGCACCCAAACAGGAAAGCTTTTGTGTCTCAGTTTATAGGCCAGTAACAGGTTTTGACTTGCTCTGACTCGTGCATATAGTTTGCAACGTAAAGATACTCTCAGATTCTTTTGGCCATCACTATGACACATGAGATTCTGTTCTGTTAGATTTTGTACCAAAAAAAAAAAAAAAAATCAAAGCTCATTCCATAAAGAAATACCTCCTAAAACTAACACTAAAAAACTCTTTTTATCAAGCTATTAATGAATATTTTATTACCAGGTAGGAAAGATTACCTGTATGAAAAACAAGCAAACAGCTCTGTTGTCTCAGTTTGCCACTGCCTTTCTCACTGGTCCTCATGCAATTGATTTTACCTATGACCCTTGACTATATACATAAAGGACCACATTGCATTCTATTAGCAACTGAAAAAAATGTTCCTCTGCTCCTCTGCAGGTGAAAATCTGGTTCCAGAATCGCAGAGCCAAAGAAAGAAAATTAATGAAGAAGAAAATGACTCATTTTGATGGCAGCAATCTTGGCTCTATGCAGAGTGACTCTGGCTCAGTGAGCCCGATGCCAGTTCCTGACCAACAGACTCATTCAGAAATGCCCAGTTCTTTATTCCCACCCCCACCTCCTCCACCTCCACTTCCCATGAATGGTTTGCAGCACAACGGGAACCTGCAGCAGGTAGTGGCCTCTCAGTAAGGCTGCCTGAAGAGCTATTGCATAATGAACACTATAAACTACCAGTACATGGAGCACTACAGCATGAAAGAGAGAGAACAGCTGTAGCTGTTTTGCAGGAGTCCCCAGCATGACACAGTTTTGTGCACATAAGCTTCAAGTACAGTAAATCAAGAGCCACTTGCCAGGTCTGCAGGATAGCGCAAGTTCCCAAGGGCAATGGAAACGGCTGTGTGCCAAGAGTCCTAGTTGCAGGGAGCCTCTGCAAGAGGATGCCATGCCGAGTCTGTGCCACAAGGCAAGCATCCCTCCAGCCATGCAGCAGGTGGGTAGGCACTGGGAGGGAGGAGAGCTGAGGACCAGATATGGCCACTTGTTACAGTACACTGCAAAGGAAAAAAAAAGCACAAAATGGGCCACAGGCAATCCAACATTGCTGAGGCAGTAACAGCAGCTGTACACAAGTGCTCTGTCTGTCCCTCGCCCCTAGGTAAAGAGTATATTCCTTCTCCTTTGATCTCCACACAGGTTCCATGTACTAATCTCACTTTCATGGACTTTACACATGGATCTTGATAAATGAAAACCTGGCTTATATGTTTTGACCCACTTGATGGAAAGCCTGGGTTGTGGTGATTGCACTCACTACATGGTAAGGGCAAAGGTCAGGGATGAGCTTTTTGGAATTTTTTGGTTTTGACAGGTATGATTTCCAATGCTCCATACACTGGTATAAACATGCACTCTTCAATATTACCATCAATGTTTCAAAAGCGTTCTAGAATTGTGAATCTTGGCCCAAGTTCATTTTTGATAGAACAAAAATCATGGCAAGACTCATTCTGTATCATAAAAGAAAGAGCAAAAGGGAGGAAATCCTTTTTAAAAGTGTAGGTGTTTTAAAAAGTGACTGCATTTCATGAGACAGCATAGCCCATGGATAAAGACACAATAATTGCATTCAACTAATTTTAAATTTGGTCCAGTTTTCAGACCTATTGCGACACTAAAAAAAAAAATCTGAGAAGCCAAATTAATGGAAGACAAAGCAAAAAAATATTTCACTTAAATATAAGCTCTTGGCATTTTTTAAGTAGGTCTCCATTCCTGAAGTGCTGATCCCTTCCATACTAAGCAGAATTTGGTAGGTAATCAGTACTTAAGAATAATCCAGATATTTACTTCCTAAGATGACTAACAATTGCATGTGCATAACTTGTCTGTAAAAGGAAAATTTTTAAAGCACACAAGTGATTTGGGAATTTATACCTTCATTGTCAAAAGCAATTTAGAAATTTAGGATGCCTATCTTCACTAATTTTCATCAAGGTGTCCTCCTAAATATCTCTGTCACTGTCGCAAATAAGACTTAGGAGCATTAAGTCATTTAGGCACTACGTTCTTGGTTTTTTTCCTTAATTATAACAAATAGTACTATTAGGTCATCAAAATGTTGGTAATGTAAAATTACTTTGTATATAAAGAACATTAAAATAAATGACTTTTTTCATAATCATTTTCCAACGTGGTATCAGCTACTCTAGCAAGTGAACACGCAGATTTTCATGATTAGTCTGTTACTGAATTGTAATACTAAATTTAAAAGCAGGGTGATCATAAAAAAGCTTACAAAAAGTAGAGGAGAATGGTAAGACCAGGATGGTTCAGGGAGCTGTCAGTTTTCACTGTTTCTTAATTTTATTTATCATTTTATGGTTATGAGAAGGACTTTTACTAAATAAGAGTAAAATTCCAACTTTAAATGGACACGTATCTATGTTGTAAAATTCCCACTCTTTCCTTTCACACTGCTGCTCCATTTGCTGGCAAAAGCAGTCTGAAGCTTTGCATAGCTAACACAGATGAGATGAAACTGCAATTCAAAGTTCAGCAACAGAAAGACTTGCTGATTTCCACATATTATGAAAAGTGGAACATGACAAACAGCACATGGGAACAAAAGTGATTTACCATCCATATTGATGAACATGGCAACCAGACCAAAACACTGGTCTCCCAAAAGAGACATCCCACTGGAAGTGTCCAAAAGGGAAATCCATTGGAAATACACAGAACAGCCATTTTGTCTACAGAGGGAAATGCTACAGATTTTACCTACAGTTCATACACACACATACACACATATAACTTGGAGACTGAAAAAGGTTCAACAAGAGAAGCATCCTTACATTGGCCAATTAACCGGAATCATGCTTGCATACTACAGAAAAATCAATAAAATTTTTCAGATTTAGACTTTCAAAAGGTAAGAATACAGAGGCAAACTTTGTCTTTTGTACTGATATACAGTAATTTAGGACCTAGTTCTAGTTAAGTGCACAGAACCCTGGCCCCAGGGTTTTGCAGGATCAAGTTCATAGCTACCTATTTTAATCACATTTCCATGACAAAGTTTAATTTTGTATTAAAATTTTTAAAAGGAAAAAGAAAAAAGTCCTTCAAGAAAGAACAGTAAGAAAAGACATATATCTGAACACAACTTCTTTCCCTTTAAAATTATTTAAACATCATTCAAAAAGAGGGGGATCTGGCAAAATGACCTGTTTTATCTTGTTTACATGTAGAAGAGTTATTGAGGAAGATAAGCGACCACTTTGAAGATCTGCCTCATTTCTGTTCCAGTTTGCTGAAAGCATGCTTGCTATAGGTTGCTATGTGTTTCCAATCAGAAGTTGTTAAGTACACAAAATAAGGCTGGATTTTATTTGCAGAAGCACATGTTCAAAGGTTAAAATTTATTGCTCCAAAACCAGTATCTATAAACCAGGGCAATAGCTTAGAGATTATTAACCTCCTAGTTATGCCAGTGATTGTTTTAAGTAGTACAATTTTTTTGTAAAACTTACCAGCAATCTATTCAACTAAATATTTTCAATGTGCTTTAATCCTTTAAATAGTTGCCCACCAAAACCAAAAGAAAGCTTTTTTTTTTTTTTAAGAAGCTTGTGTAGTGCTGTTGCTTAGATGTGGTATTGTGTATAATTATCAATAAGAGAGACATAAAATTGGAGCCAAATCAACTGAAAGTATTTTGGTCCAACATTGTGAGTCATGAAATACTGGCACCAGTCCTCAGAATAATACTTACTTTCTTCCTAACTTTGGGTATATCTTATAACCTATCACTTCTATCACATCTAAAAACTAGGGACACTAAAGCAGAGTTGCTGTGAAGATTGATTGGTTGTTAGCAAAGTGCCTTGAAGAAGAAAAGCATACCTTAGACTACATCACAAGAATATCTAAGCCCTTAATCCTAATTGTGATTAAAAGAACGATCAAGATATATCCAATTTTCAGAGGAATTCACTAACCTTTAAACCTCATTACCCAGCGAGAATTGTGATCTATATGGTACAAAAAGATCAAGGACAGCATAGCAAACAGAACTTTCTACAAAAACTTCACACAACTAAGCAAGAGATACAATTCAAAATGACATTTTTAAAACAAAAAACTTCAAATACGCAGTATCTGCAGTTGCTTAGGGGTTATGCAATCATTAACATACATATGAGAGAGCATCAGGTATGTGCTACCTTCTACCCAAGGAGCAGATTCAAAAATATATTAATTCTGGATGTTACCATAAAAATTAAAAAGCATATTCCCACTTTAGCACCCTTATTCAGTTTGCTGGCGCAGCACAGGCTTACTCCAACCCAAGCTTTTACACCCAGAGCGTATGCTGAAATGATGGGTCCCTGCAAATGACTTACACAGCCAGTCACATTTTGGGTACTGTATGTTACCAGTTGAACACAGTATTGTGCAAAACTCACTAGGTAAAGGAATAGGCACAGGTTTTATGATGACAATGTTTGCCAGCTGCTTTCATACTCAAAGAGCACAAATACATTCTTGCACATTTTGTAACAGACTCTGTTCTAAGAGGTATCACAATAAATGGAGAGGCTTAATTAAGATGCACCCTGCATGTTCTTGGTCTTCTAAGCCACGATAAAATACAGTCACTCTAAGGCAGGACAGACTTCACATAGACAATATCTCTCTTATCTGGGAGTATGAAAGAAGAGTTAAATTTGTGCAACAGAAATGGCAATGTGCCAGGAATATAAACCATGTATATGGCAAGAATGGCAAACAGTAAAGGCAATCAATTCCTTTATTACCTCATGAAAGAGAGACCCCACCAAAGAACGTCTCAAGGACTCAATAGTGAGCACCCAATAATCCCATCCAGCTATACTCTGGTCAGCATGATTAGTTACAGTAAGTGGAAGCCCCACACTACATGACTCAGGATGGAAACCAAATAAATATCAATAGAGGATATGCTGTTAATTTTCATGGTTCTGCTAAAAAGAATCGATTTAACCTGCAGTTCACATGCAGACTCTTTAACTCCTGCTGTACTAAGTCTGCTCGTTAAGCATTAAGACGTACTCATTACTGTTAGTATTGATTTTGTAGCAGATTTTAAATTATTTAAATTTCAGAACAGTAAGACCCTCCTTTAGCTCCAGACCATTCTTTCCTGGCAGACACAACACTGATGCAGATCATACATGTAATATATTGTCACTATTTTTAATAAAATGTAAAAGTTAACATTAAGAAATGAAAGATAGGTCATTGTTAGCAGCAATTAGAAAAACAGTAGTGGAATAGATGGAAGGGTAAATACAATCACCATGCTCCCAACAAGTCACATTTCATCATTTTTCAAAAGGATTTGTTAACAACCAAAATTTCAGAGCATGGAATTAAAAATGAAACCATTGTGGAAGGCTTCAGGGACAACTGACATCTTTATTTCTACTGTTGGTTTCTTATGAAAAAGAAATACACATTAGGGATGAGAGACACAAATAGTACAGAACTGAAACTTGTGATATACCCCTTTTTCTTTTTGCCCAGAAGAGCTCAGTTCAGCAAGTGAAATTAGTTCAGCTACCACTGCTCATTCAGTTCTCTAGACTGTGCCCCATCTGTCAATACAGAGATGCAATCTGGCATGTGCTAGCATGTCAAGCCCTGAAAATGACACCTAACTAGGGCGTTGCATATTAAACCAGTCCAATTAAAAAGGGTAAATAAAATTTTCAGAAGTTTTGTTTGTAGAAGCTTCAGTGAAAGCAAGAGTAGTCTCTTCAGCTGTGAGTTTTAAAACTTTAAAACCATCTGCCTTCCTTCATGACTAGTCGGATTTTTTTCCAACAGAACTGACCTCAGATTACAGCATGCTACATACTGACTGACCTTTCCTCAAGATTTATACAGCTGACTATTAATTTTAGGAGGAATGGGCGTGCATGCAAAGCCCAGCTTAAATAAAGGGTCAACAACACCTCTGAAATACTGCATTAAAACTATCAGCAATACACAGTTCGCTAACAAACTCCTTAGCTAGCCATTCCATTGAAATTCCAAGCATGCAGTTATAAAGGTACGGGCAAGAAGCATTCCTAAGCCTGATGTTACTGATGTGTTATTAGAGTGGTCATCTGGAGGCAAGAAAACAAACATCTATTCCTATCACCTTAGCCAGAGTGGGACATGCTAAGCTCACCTGCTTTTTTCGCCTCAGAAAGAAAACCAGAGATAGGTTTCATATAATTTTCAAGCTTCAAAGATGGACAGATTTGTTTCTTCTTATCTCCATATAAAAGGAAGAGTAACTTAATGAGCACGAGTTCCTAATAAAAATTATCACAGGTATAAACACCTTTAATATAAGTTATTGTTGTACAGGCCATTTTTAATCTACCAGTAGTCCGTGAAATATCAGTTATAATAGCCGTCATTAAAACATTTAATTGCACGTTTGTGATTATATTATTATTATTACCTGTTTATGAAATGCTCTTTAGAACAGCACATATACGATAGTATACCATCTGCATTGCCTGTACAAACAAGACTTTAATAGCTCCAATGGTTATCACCATGCTTGTTATTATTGCTAGATTTTCATCAACCACTTGTTAGAAAACTAGAAAGTTTTCTTCCCCAAAGATCTCAAAGCACATTTAATTTTACACACGTATAACTTTACTTCAACAAACACTGAGGCAAGTCTTGCAGACACTGGCTAAGTAGATAAATTATACATAGCATTTTAACAGGTAGAGGAAAAAAAAAAAAGGAAAATTATAACCTTGGAGTTAGTTACTCTGGCAATCCATCTCTCTGAACTATGCCAAAGAGCATAGCACTCTTGCTGCCAATACCACACAGATCTTTCCTGTTCTGCCTTTATCACCCACTGCAGAAAACGGTATAATTACAAACCTCCGTATGGATGAGATTTCTGGATCTAGCCCACTACCTCAGAACTACTTTCGCTTTCCCACCACACCAGAAAGTCAGGAGAGGGCCCATGCTAACACGACAGTTCCACAAACACTTTACACAGGCATAGGCAGCACACCAGCCCTTCCTCTACCACCCGCAACTCACTGCCATCCCCTCACAGTGCAAATATGGACAAGACAAGGGCAGTTCACTTATTTCCCTCCTCCTTTTTTTTTTTCTTTTTTTTTCTTTTTCTTTGACAGCAATGCCCACTGAAAGTGTTCCTGGAACTACAGTGTAAATTACTGCTATACACTGAAGATGCAGTTGTTCTGTGGCTCTGAAGCTACTGACACGCTGGATCTGGGCAGGAAGGACACATCCGTGGCCAGAAATGACTCTTGGGAAGGCAAACTCAGATTAACAGTCAATTAGCTCTCAAAAAACATCAACCCCAAAATTTTGGTAGCCTCAAACTACTAGACTACATGCAAAGGTATTGTTCCTTTTTAATACATCCACATGGTTCCGTTAAACAAAATGGGAGGCCTAAGAGTCAGGGTGCAGATCATTTGAATGTTGCCATTTTAGTTATCTTATTCTCACTTCAGTGTTAAAAATCTGCAGTCCTACCCAGCAATCTTATCCTGCTATGTAAATCTTTTTAAACAAAATGCCTTATTCAAAGCTTACTATTGTTAGCCGACATCAAATCAGTGTAGCAATTTGCCATCAGCGTATCTTGATCTAATTACGTTCTGGAAAGAATCGAAATAGATCTAAAGAAAAGTCAGATAGTAGAACAGGCAAAACAAGAAAGGGAAAGGAGGAGCATAAACAAAAGATAAAAGAAGAACAAAGGATAAAGCTCCAAGATACAAAAAATAGGATTAGGTGATACTGAAATTGTGGGGGGTATGTGCACAGGCATCCCATAAAGAAAAAGGAAGACCAGGGATTAAAAATGTTACCATCATCTAATGCATTCTATGAAATCAAATGTCATTCACGGAGATGTGAAAATGGTGTGCTTAGAAGCTGAACAACGTGTCTGATCTGAAATCTACGAGCAACCAATGTTCATTTGTACTATGTCAATGGATTTCAAATACAGTCAATGGAGACAAAGCTTCACCCTCCTATGGATCTGCCTATGACCGACAGCTCTGTGTCACTTTTAGTAATACATTGCAATTTAACTGCTGGCATAATGCTTACAAATAGGTCAAAGATTCCAAGGATACTTCCAGTATAGGAAACATGTCTTGTTTAATTTGGATGATACTCAGTGGAGTTCTTTGTTCTTTTTAGTGCACATCAGTACTAAAAAGTCTGTGGGCTCCCAAAAATTGTATTACAATTCCTTTTCTTTCCAGATGAAGGGAACAAGAGTGTCTTCTGAATTTTTTTAATGTCTATTTTTATAAGGGTACACTAATTACAGAAGGCCTTACTTTTTCCATGTCCTATCCCATGGTGCAACTTTCCTCAACATTCTCAGGATCCCAAGGATTAATAAAGAAATCTGTAAATATAGCAAAACCTTTATAATTCACTTTGCTACACTTCTCAGTAAAAATTTGTTTCTCAAAAAAACCCAAACCAAAACCACAACCACTCCACAGAAAACGAATATCTTTCCTGTATTTAAGTACACACTTAGAATCCTTTAGTGCTGGAATTAGAAGGGATGTGTGAATATGAGTAGTGTCAAAATACAAAGGATACTGAATGAAAAACCACACCTTTGTAAAGGGAAACAACTCATTGTAATTTGCACCTCTTTTGCAAGCATACCCTTTGACAAATAGCTCATTGCAAAGAAATCCATCCAAGAAAAAAATGTACCAAATTCACTCTACAAGTTGTAGCTAAACAACCACAGAGAGGCAGTTCTCAAGTCATAAGGTATGGTTTAGTTCTCCCATGTTAATATCAAGCTCTTAGTAATATAAAACCACCTTCAGAATAATTTTTCTCAGTGGGAACACTTACATTGACATATAGAGTACCCATGTGTCAGGCACTTTACAGAAAAGCATCAAGGCAGTTCTGATCCACTAGCTTGATAACCCACATGTTTCTCCTTGCTGATTTCACTTACCTAAGCTGCCACCGCTGAAAACAGACTACTATACAGCAGTTTCAGAGGAAGGAATGAGCATTTCAGGCAGATAAAGGTTGTCTTCAGTTTGAAACAGAAGCCAACAATATTACTGGGCGCAATCAAAGACTTTTTTCACTACTTTTTAGAGTCATTTTCTTTGTACTTCTGGCACTGTCTTTGTTAGGAAGATTTATTGTCTGCTTTTTAAAATTTATCAGTTTGCAATGGCCACCAGATGAAGGGATCTCTTTACATCACTCCGTATGGGGAGAGTGTGAACATGTGCATTACAGTTAGAACCTTAATTTCTCCCATGCTGGAAAACCACTTAGAAACATGAATGATGAGGGGAAAATTTTTGAGATTGTTATATTCAAGACATGCTGTTTACAAGATGCTGTGTATTCTGAAGTTACTGACTTACAATTATACAAATTGACCATGTCCCTTAATTTGAGAAGTAAAAATGAAATTTTTTTCAGTATCTGAGAAATCAAGAGAGTAACAGATTTATTTGTTGATTGATAACACATCACAAAATAAAGGTTTCAGACAAGAATCATTTGAACACCAAACATTGCTATTACAGTTACCACTGTCTTTTCTTAAAATAAGGTCTATTTACTAAGTTACAAATACAAGCAACCATTGCATCATCTTACAGTACTGGAATTACTGTTGGATATCAGGGAAGGGTAATAGGATAGATAAAAGTTCTCTAAAAGAGAAAGCACCAGAACTAGCAGAAAGGTGGGGTTGGTCAGCCCTTCATTTGAATGTAAATGTAATTATGAGGCAGGCAGTTAGGCTGACGTCAGACAAGATCTTGGTAAACCATTACCACCAGCACCTGGTAACACAGTTGATAATAAAAGAGGATGAAGTAGAAGATTCCAAGCAGAGTGGCATTATTAGAGAAAACCAAACACAATTATTTTTAAGCAGTGAAAGAAAATACAGAAGAACAAGATGTTATGACAACATATTTACAATCTGTGACAATCATGTATGTGAGCTCTCTCTTGGATAAAGAGAACAGCATGTATCCAGAATCTGCAAGGTGCAGCAGCAACAACCTGCCAGTGCAAAACTTTGTGTCTACTCCACCCTATTCAGATTACATGGGATATCATCATGTGCCAACTCTGGACACCCATGGACAGCCTGCGGGAACCTGGGGATCTCACTATGGCCCACAGAGGGAGGACTGGAATGCTTATGGCCCAGGACCTTCCAGCACGGTTGCTGCTGCACAGATCAATGGCTCATCTCCTGGGCAGGTCTCCTACAGTTCTGCTGATTACAGCTCCCTCCATCCTGCTGGATCTGGGGGGTTACCTCCTGTAGATACAATTAATACACAGCAAATCTCTCCCAACAGCCAAAGGCACAGCTCTTACGAATGGATGAGGAAAACGGTGCAAGCTAACACTACTGGTAAGTGTATATTCAACTTTCAACCTGAGAAAGCATCTTCTGCTATCGCTGATCTTATGAATAATTAACTTTACTTGAAGCACATAGGTTGGTGGGTTATTTATGACATTTAACCTACTGCTATTTAATGCAGTTTTAACTAAATTTGCACTAGTTTCAGTTTTGTCCCATAAAGGCTTTATACAGTTACTATAGTGGAATGGCTGTTGTGTTTAGATATGGCTGCATCTCACTCAAGTCCAGGAATCTTTGTTCTAACAATCTGTAAAGCATTTTGGATTAAAAACATGATGCTCTTGGGAATGTTATGGAACCATGAATGCAGCAACATTTAACAGTTACAGGCAAAAATACTACATAATTATTTTGTGCTGCAAGGTAAACATCGATATAAAATCAGGTTGATCTTTTTAAATCTTTACAGACTTTTCAATACTTTTAAAGAAAATTATGTGCTCTGATCCTACTGTAGTGATTATGCAATTTTCTGCTGTTGTTCCTGTCTTTTATTTTTCTACCTAGATTTATTAGGTGAGACGAAATATTCCTAGAGAAGTAATCTGACTCAAATGATCAGCGTAGACCATTTTGTTTGCAGCCCACATATCTCATCAGTTAAGCTTCCTTTTCATTTAGTTTCAAATCAGTTTTACATATTTTTCTCACGTATCAGAATTTTGCAGCTTGCCACAATTACACAATTAAAAATCACTTTCTTGCAAGAGTCATTTGTTGATGTGCCTGTTTTTATCACAAGCTGCATGCCAGATGAACCTTTCGGTGTATATTCCCAAGGTGTGAATTGGGTGTAGCAAGGTTTGCTAAATCTATTGTTAAGGTTAGAAGTAGTAAGTGTGTGTTAGAGAGCATCAAAGAAAATGCTCTAAAGAAAGAAGAGCAATTACAATTGGAGCAATCTTAGAAGACACAGAAAATCAGCACTACTGCTTGAGACACAGTCGTACTTCAAATGGTTATTACTAAAGAGCAAAATTAGTCTGGTAATTGTTTCTTAGTTGTAAAGCAGATACACACTGTTTTCCCACTAATACTAAGTATAAAATACTTAGTGAACATTAAGATATCCCAATGCAATCCTTCCACTTGGAGCCTCTACAAAGGTCTTCAAAGCCAGGCAGATTTATAGTCTGTTTTTTCCCCCTTATGTATACTCATGTAAATCAGTAGTAACTTCATTAACATCATTGGAGATTTCCAGGTGTAGAAGCGATGCAAGACTTGAATGTAAACCAAATTCAATTGAGACTACTGAATGGCAATGAGGCAACCCTGTCCCCGTCATGTTGCCGCTGAATTTTAAATGTGTTAGCATTCTTAAAGAGTAAAAGAGACTTAAAAATCTAAATCCTAGTTTTACACTTATTGCACAGACATGGAAGACCCTGAAAGGTTTCCCACACGCTTGCTCAACTTCATAAAACATATATGCAATTCAGAAAAGCAGTTATGTGCTTAAATTCATCTCTAGTCTGAAAAGCACTTACACAGAATTTACACACATGCCAAAATACTTTATGAACAATACTAGACAGGTGAAACAGGGCCTGTCAATAGATACATGTCCCGAGGCTGTACATTCCTACAGCCCAGTCCTTTGAAGTGTTAAATACAGCTCAGGACTTCACAGAATTGGGCTCAAGACATCAACCCAGCTTAAAAAAAGGGTTTGGGAGAGTAAAGCATGAATGTGGTATCTTGCAAAACAAGAAAAGTATCGAATAGATTTAGCTTTTCATTGGTGTTTTAAAATAATGTTCACTGTAAAAAACTAGAAAGTTATAATACTGATACATAAAAAGTTGTGAAAAATGAAAGGAAATTCAAACAAATAACGACAAGGCTAAGATGATGCATGTAACAGGTACTTATTACTTATCAATGCTTTTTCTAGAAGATAATGTAAGAAAACTTACTTGATGCCACTATAACCACTCTTTGAAACAGACTTGGTCTCTGTTTTTCCTTATTGCCATAATATTTATTACTCATCCTATCAAACTGGCTACTGGCTCCTCCCCTTCAATATTATCACTGCTTAATACAGTTCATTGCTCTAAAATTTCAGAATTACAGCCTTAAACTTTACAAATATATTTATATACATAAATATGTGTATGTCCTTAACTTCACTAGTGGTGTGTACTCACATTGATGTATGCGAGCAGCATGGAATAACAGAAATCAAAACACAGCTAATTAAACGAGCGAGCTTACTGAAATACTGTCCTAAAGCCAATGGGAATTATTCTGGGGGATGGGATGTTAATGGGAATTTTTCCCCCTCAATTTAGACTCTATTAAATATACCACATTCTGAATCAATATTTGTATTTAGCATTTTATACAAGAAATTAAATTACAGGAAAAGTGAAATGAAAATTTACCTGACCAAGTCAACTCTCAGGATGAAACAACATCATGAATACAGAAATACTATGTCCTTTCAACAGATAAAATTTGATTTGAAATTATACATCCTCTTACTAGAAGACTGTAACTGTATATTCAGAACCAAACCTTTTTTTATTTCAAATACACAGACATTGCAAACATATGAGGCAATAAGTAATTTAAAAAAACCAAACATCGAAAGTGGGCTTGCTAAAGGTATCTTCCCAGACAGGCTATCAAAATGAGAAAAAGAACATCTACAGAATTCCTTACAGTCTGATCCCATTTTTACTAAAAATCAATGACAAAATGCCCTATCAGCTTCAGTTATGTAAGAGCAGAACTTCAGAGCCATTCATTTCTAAAAGCTGTGTAATCAACAGTGTAAAATGTGTATTTTATGAGAGCAAGTGAGCCTTCAAAGCATGAAGCTTACTGAAAAGAAGGTATCTAAACAAGGGCCTAGAAAACAGATTTTATATCTTTTAAAACTTTACATGAAACTTCATGTGGGAGTGGTCCTTCTCAGGAGAATGGACTTTAAGGGGACTAAACAAAAGGACAACATTATTTTTATATTTTGCAAGATCAGCCTCAGCTTTTTTTTTTTTTAACTATAGTCAACACATTGTATGTCTTTGTTTAAACAAGCAGTGCTGTACAAGTAATTCAGATTACATCACAGCAGAAACACAGCCAGAAAGCAAAATAGAAAAGTAGGAAAAAAGGCCAGGCCTCTGCTCTAATGCTAATTTATTTTGCTTTGTAAACTAGTTGTGACATCTATTTTCCACTGGCCTACATTGTCTGAGGTTTTGAGGCCTATCTGTCATATTGAGGCAACAGACCCTTTTAACACTTCACTTTGCTTTGATATGCAGTCTTGTCTCTTCCTTCTCCCTCTTTTCTTCAGGAGTTATATTGCCGGAAAGGGTGATGATTTTCACAGCAAATAAAGAGGCCTTCTCCTAGCTTTATTGTCTTCAGAAGAAATGCTCTGCGAATTTTATGACCAAGGGGAATGGGGAAACCTACTCCTTTTCTCCACCCCCTCAAATCATGGTTATATTTGCTGATTATAGTGAAGCCGGAATAACCCTGTTGAATTTTAACTTGTTTTCAAAGATTACCTTCTAAGCCTTCAGTTTACAAGGAACCTGAATATCTATACTATTGTTAACATTTTAACTATCACTTAGAGCAAACATTTCAAAGCCAACAATTTGTACATTGCAAAAAAGTAAACTTAGTTTGATGATTGTTTTAGTCCTGCAAATTTAGGCAGGAAAACTTTGTACACTAGAAGTCAAAGTGGCATAGGATTTGGGAAAACATCCCTAATTATGCGTACTTCAAAATGTCTTAAGCTATGTCTACCTCTAGCCTTCAGATAAAAATATTGCAGTCTATTCTCAGTGTTGGTCCAAAATTAAAGAGAACTGAGGAAAAAATATTCCTTCATCTACTTCTGTCCTTTTTAACTCTGCTAAGATGAAAGAGTCTGACATTTGTTTAGGGCTTGTAAATTCCAAACCAATTGGTTTGTGTTTCTGAATGTGAAAGGGGTTCTTGATAAGATCTCCTTGTCGCTCCTTTGTGTGGCGTGTGCTTCATCTTAACACCTCAATGGATTTTAGGGAACCACTTTAAAGGAGTCTTTGTCCTACAGTTTGTCCCAGAAAACTCACATCAAAAAAAACCTGGGAAGATCAGAAGAAAAAGAAAAACTATCTAGTTGGCTGTTGAAAGTGCAAAGGAGAACAAATAAGTTGAAAAGTGATCTCTCTGTATTATTATTACATGAAGAATTGTTTAAAAATGTCTATGAAATGAGAGCTATCTTCTACACATCCAGTAATGCTTCTCTTAACAGTATTTATCCAATATATCTAAGAATATTTCTTTTATACATTAGAGAGAGGATGACACTGAAATCCTTTCACAAGTATTTTATTGCCTCATCTTACAAATTCCCAAGTGCCTTCAACTCAAAAGGGAAGCTCAGCACAGAGAGTACCCCCAGTAATACCTCTACAGGCACTCAGCATCTTGCAAGACTGGACTTTTTTGAAAAAATAAATTCAAGATACTATTAGACTTATAAGCATGTCCTATGGCCACACAAGAAAGCAAAAGCATTTCTAGTAGGACATTTATTTGTGTTAGAGAGCTGATACTCAAAAACTCAAATAAAGAATTAGGACATGGTGCAACTAAATAAATTGTGACTGAACTTCAGTCTTGAAATCCTGTGTATTTATGCCTGCATAGATGTGGAAGTCACTTCAATGAGCACTGAAATGAAACCCCTTTGAGATCAAATACAGCCAGCACCAATTATGTACTGCTATGAATTATTTAAGATGCTTCAGGGTGTTTTTCACTTAAGAGCTTTACATTTAAATGCATGTTTACAGAGAGAGGGAGATAAAGAGGAAAAGACAGTTATGATAACCAATACTCACTCACTTATTCACCCTGCACCTCATATTCCTTCTCTGTAACACAGAAAACAATCCCATGCAAGTACTCCGTAGTTTAATTAATGTCTGTAAACTGTTTGAGATGTTTGAAAGAAAGATGCTATAGAAAATCAAATTCAACATATTAATAATATTTCTTTCTTGAACAGGTAAAACAAGAACAAAAGAAAAGTACCGAGTTGTTTACACAGATCATCAGAGACTAGAATTAGAGAAGGAATTTCACTGCAACAGATATATTACAATAAGGAGAAAGTCAGAACTTGCAGCAAACCTGGGACTATCTGAAAGACAGGTACACAGAGACTATCCATCATTCATACGCACCCATTCACAAGTCACTGTTACTGCCAGAGGACATGAGCAGCATTCACGTTCTGTATCCAAAAGTAGTGCGCAGGCAACCATGATATAGTTTCTGAATATATTTGACACACAGAGAATACATTATGCAAATACAAATTAATAAATAGGCTAATTTCACAGAAACCTCAAATTATGGGTAACTAACATAAGGAATTCATTTATCCTAGAAGTAGTACTTACTCTTACGTGCCTAACGGCTTGCTAGACAGCTAGAATTTTAACAGTTCAGCTTAACATTATTTTAGCTATGTTCTCAATAGTTATGACATTCACCATTTTATTTTTTCTTGCGATCACACAGAATGGTGGCCAGAAAAAAATCCAAAGCATTGGATATATTTCAGCTGTAACCTAGGAAAATGAAAACTCAGCATTCAAAGAGCAATCAAATGAGATATCTATGTATTTTTTGTTACAAATTTATTGCCACTATTTCCACAGGCCTCTCCACTCTTCCTCAATCAGTTAGATTTCAGCATATTTTAAGGAGTTTTTACAGCCTTTGATTTGCAAGTCAGGATTTCTTTTTGCAATTATGTTCACAGGTACTTCACCTATAGTAGTAGTTCACACCCACTATATACAAGATGCTTTAAGCTATAAAATTTGGTGCCAAATTTTTATGCCTGTTATACACATATATGTATCCAATAGTCTCCGTTCAGGAAATTTTCAAGTGCATACTTAGATCCATTTCTTCTTTGAAAAGCAGCTCTGCCTTTGTTCATATCAAGTACATATTTAAGCTCTGTCCTGAATAAAGGTAGTCTCCTGAGCAGGGGCCCAGGTTTCTTAGCTGGGTTCATACAAAGACTAGAGGAATTCAGGATAATGAATTTCCTAAAATCACTGTGTTGGAGAGCTCACTTATGAAGCACAGCTCTGCAGTCTGCAAATACAGTAACTGTTGAATGCAACCCTCCTTATACAACAGAATTGCAATGGTTCTGCTACAGTTGGAGGATAAGGGAAGATTTGGCGATACTGAATAAGGCATCTCATACCTTAGCACCCAGATTTATTGCCCCCAGGTAAATTTAAACAAGAGATCTTTCCTTTTAGAATTTTACAAACTTTTGTTCTTTCTGAATATAGACATTCAGGTCTCTAAAATATTCTCCTCTTTCAGTGGCCTCCTCTGCTTCTGCATTCATTCTGTGCAAGAACATGGAATAGAGAGGGACCAATTGAGGCTGGAAGCGTAAGGATGCATAGATAAGCAATGGTATTTTAGGATCAAGCACTGGATTTTTATAAACATACTGTAGTGCAGTGATGTTCAATCCCAGACCCAAATAGTACATAGACTACACTGTGCAGACTGTAAGTGGCCCCAGAAAGTAACTACAAAAAACAAGTCTATCATTGATGGACTAAAGTTTGTTATACAGTAGGATATAGCTGCATTGGAAAATTTTCAGAGAACTTATGAAAATTATGAAAGGTTCAAAACCTCCACCTTAATGTTATGCAAGCTGGCTGATTTAGAACACAGACATGCCTGGAATAACCAGTGATACCGCATAAAATCAGTGGTTTCCTGTTACATAGCTGTTGCTCTTAAAGCCATCCAATTTTTGACTGGTAGATATCCTTCAAGTATAATGTAGACAAAATACATAATTTATCTGCATTTCTACAGGACCAATGACAGACAAGCTAAATGCTTCTTACTGTCATTACCAGTAACGTAATAAAAAATAACTAGAAAATAATAATGAGATTTTTAATACAAAGCAATGGTATAACTTTCTATATCATATTGTATTCAACACACCTTAAAGGATGCAACAAAAACTGTGAAGAACACAAAAAAAAAGAATGATAAGGAAAAACAGTGTTTTCTACTCATTCACACTTCCACATCAGGAAAGAAAATATAGATAATTAAACTAAAAGTAGATTTCAAACAGATGGGAGTCTACATATGCACAATTAGCCTGGGAAATTCACTGTTATTAAGTAATGCTGATGTACCTATCTGTACACAACATAGTACATATGTATCTGTAAAATACATATACGTAGTCCAGAAACAAAAAAATTCAAAACTTTTAAAATGCGTAAGAATATGTATACACACAAAAATCACTCACAATATAAATGAAGAAAAAGAACTTTCACTGCCTGGGTTTGAATTAATCTGTAATACAGATAAAGAAATCTTCAAAATTATTCCATAACTGCATCTTCCTAAAGTATGACACATGCCACTGTCAAAGCTTAGATGATGAATTAGGTGGACTCTGAGTCTAAATGAGTAAGTTGATTCCTACATTCCTAAATGTAACACAGCAAATTCCCTTTACACCAGATCTAAGAAAGTAATTTTCTACTGATTATGATGCAGAAAATGAATATAGAGTAACTAAAAAATTGTTCGCTGCACAAGTCCAGTGTTTTGTTTTGTGGTTTGGTTTGGGGGTTTTTTGTTTGTTTGTTTTGTTTGAGTTTTATGGGGTTTTGTGGGGTTTTTTTTCTGGGTTTTTTTTGGTTTGTTTTGGTTTTTTATAATTTTTTTTAACATATCTATATTTTCATTGCTATTATTACTGTAAAAAGTTGACCACTACTTTGAATTCATCAGGTATCATTTATAACACCACAGGTGAAAATCTGGTTCCAGAATCGCCGAGCAAAAGAACGAAAAATGATCAAGAAGAAAATATCTCAGTTTGATGGCAGTGGGGGCTCAGTTCAGAGTGACTCTGGTTCACTCAGTCCGAACGAAATATCTAATTCTCTGTTCCCACCATCACATGGAATAAATGGATTACAGTCTAATGACATTCATCAAGTCATAGTTTCAGAATGAACAGAGGCAAAAAAAAAAAGGAAAAAAGGAAAAGCAAGAACACATTTCCCTGCCACCCCTTGAAAACTTGAAAGCTCAACTTCGCAAAGGACCATTCTCATTTAACTGTCTTCAGGATCTGGGACTATTTTCAAAACATTTTAATTATTGCAGAAATCTCAGGGAACTTGCACTGCTAAGATTCATCACTCAAAATCTTTGAGTAGGAGGTAATTTGCTTCAGACATTGACACAAAGAATGATTCAACTGAAGATTCAAGTAAACATAGTTCTAGTCTGATCATATATATACACACAGAAAACTAAGTGAACTGATTATAAAATAGAATACTATTGCATAAAATATAAGATGCTGGGTGTATTTGGTTTACATTCTGTATAATTAGAGTCAACCGTAGATGTTAATAAATATTGACACTTAAGTGTACTGAAAAGAACGCTACTTTTTGAAAACAACAAAAACATTTAAAACACTTTTAAACAGTCAAGAAACATAACAATGTGGCCATACCAACACATTGCATTTAATCAAATCAAATAAATCTTCTTTGCCCTATGTAATTGAATTCAAGCATGCCAATCTCATGAGCAATAGTTACAGATATATAATATCATACCAAACCTGCCAAGATTTGTTCAATTGTAAGAAATGCAAGAATTTGTCACACACATTAGTAAACACCAAATAGTTTGGAAGATAGAAGTATTACTTCAATCTTCAATGAATGCACATATTATCACTCAACAATATGAGCACAAATGTAATGGAAACAGAGCTGTTACTACGAGCAAACCACCAATATGGAAATAAAGAATTTGTCTAATGTCTTTAAACCTTTTAAGTGAAATAGTAGCAGTCTTGGACCACTGATTTTATACATAGACACTTATTTGGCGCTAAAGGCAAGAAATATCCCAAAGTAGCTGACACTGTATTTTGAAGCTGTTATCAGGCAGCTTAGCATTCACAAAGTCACAGCAAGCATGTAACAAAAGAAGCATCCACTCCATGTGCACTCCCGAAAGAGCATAAATTAAGCATAAACATGCTCACAGTGTGGTTAGCTTTAATTATTGGTCCATGTTGGCAGGTGAGAAGGTAGCAATGGTATGTAGAAGACAACTGATGAGTCTGGAAAAAGTAGAGAGAAAACCAAAAGCACTAAAAAACTGCCCAAACCCTTCAGCAGTACTATTCATTGGAATTTCATAATATGAGCTTTTTGATAGCATACAAGTAAGTGCGCTATTGGAAAAAATTTAATATTGCTGAAAAGGTCATCAGGAGCAAAGGTAATAAAAAGGGAAAATGGAAGAAAACAAAGAGGAAACACCATTATTTGGCATATGAAAAGTCATGCGTCACTTATTTCAACATCATCAAACTCTTGGTCTCAGAAACAGCAGATCACATTCTGCTTTTCTTAGTGTCAACGAGCATTGATAATGCACTGAACAACATGGACAAAACTTGTCAAAGCACTCATTACCTGGATTCAATCAATTAGATAACTTAAATTTGAAAATGTGCCTTACTGTTTCCAAATTAATTAAAAATAACTGTTAAGAGTAACTCCATGAAAGTAATTCTATTAGGAGTTACAAGAATAACACTCTTCAAAAATAAATATTAAATTATATAATTGTAGACACAAATATCTCAAGCTAAACTAGGATGAAAATATGTAACACAGGGTAAGATCTTACTGACTCTCAGCATTTTGTGGATGGTTCTCCAATATATTTCTAATAATCTCCTATTCATATGGTTAAAATAAATGGGCATATCTTAATGCAAACAAACTGTAAACAGAAAATCCTATGTATATAAATACTTACATAACTCAATCCTATGAGAAATTGAGACTACATCTGCATGGCTTTAATTCAGGATCTTCCAAAACTGCTTATGGATATTATAGTGTTAAGTGATTGCATGCACATTTTAGAAGACAGGAGCGTGTTATAGAACATACACACAAACAGATCTACTTTTGTTTATATTAACAGAAGTATACATGCTAGCAGACAGTGAGACACAAACATGCTGCTCTGCTCTTCATTCAAAGAAATCCATACATTTGCTCTGTAACAGATTTGGGAGAGGGGTTTTTTCCCAGTTCCACCAGCCCCTCTACCTGTGTTGTTCTTTTATACATGAAGGATGTAGAAGATAAAGATAATTTCTCAAGAAACTCATGAAGAAAGAAGATGTAATACTTTAGACATAGAAGTAAAAAGGGAAGAGGACCTTTACCTTACTACCCAAATCTCAAATCATCAGAAGGCCTACCTCTATGGAAGAGCAGGTGATGGCTTTTGTGAAGGTTATCAGTGACAAAGAAATGGAGAGTGAGAGAAAACTTTTTTTCTAGTTTCCAGATTTTCTTTTCTGTGACCAGTTTTCAAATCAACATGGAAGAATGGCAAGTAAAGAGCTATAACCTACAACACATCATTCATTATATTTGTATACTAGAAATGCGTGGCTTAACTTAAAATTTCTCTTTCCTTCTAATTTATGTCAAAATTGAAATAAAAAACTTACATGGTTATTTACCAGGCTCACATTCAACATATTCAAAATTATCACCTTGAAGTTTCTAAACAAGCTCCAGTCTATCTTTTTGAATTGCCAGACAGTCAGGAAACACCGTGCTGTTCTGACAAACCAGGCAGAAGAGCCACTGAAGCCACTGACTGTACTTAGAACAACCGCTGTCCATAAACATTTTAAATGAGACTATTTTAGATGCCAAATGGGAGTCTGAATGGGATACAAAGTACCTCCTATGACATGTTTAAAATCAGTCTTGTCAATAAAAAGTGTTCTCCTTTTTCATGATCTTCACCTTGAATTTTTTCCATCGGGTCTATTTTAAATGTATTCAAAGCATATATTCATAAGTATTTGGGCGAGACAGTCTCTTTCACGCACTAGATAATTATCTCTAAGCCTAAACACTGTATCAGATTATCTTCTCTGGCTACAGGTAAGTCAGATAAGAAGTTATTCCCCCTATCTTGTACTGTGCGTAACTGCCCCCATCTAGATCATAATGTCCCTTTAAATCTAAGTGTAGTGGCACAGCTGTTTTTCAAAATAATCTAAGCAAAAAAAAATTATTAAATTATTTTGGACTAATCAAGATCATTTTGAGTAAACTTGATTACAGAGTGATTAAATATACAGTCATATTACCAGATCAGGAGGATGGTAAGCCATAAAGAGGGGAAAATGGCAAGCAGCTGAAAGAAGAAAATTCTTACTCTGTCTCTGACAGTGTTTGGACACTGTATCTTACTGTAGCCTACACCATTTTTTTTTGTCAGAATCCCAGATCAAAATACAATTCAGGACTACATGCTAGCACATTTTAATGGCCCATTAAAGACTAAATGACAGCCTGACAGGAGTCCATCCTATATTCATGTTCTGCCAAGATCAACATGGGAACACAAGGATCAGGATATGCATTTGGGTGGAGGCAACACAACCATTACAAAGTCCCTACATTGCTATTATTTTCTGGGCAGCTGTGTTTGACTCTTCTATACTGCTTATGTAAAGGAAAAGCTTCACAAGATGTGATCCAGCCCTTATATTTAATTTTTATACTTGTGTGGGTGAGAACAAACACTAAAGGCTATAAATAACATTTTCCAATATTTATCTTTCATCCTTTGAAGACTTCTCCAGGGACTTTAATTAAACTCTCCCTTAGCACTATTAGGCAATTAAAATAATAATAAATCAAACTCCATCCTTCTCACCCAGTGGGTACCTTCCCCAAGCTCTCTCAGTTTCCTGTCTTTTTCACTTTATGTAAATAGAAAACCATCACACTGTTTAAATTCAGCTGTTTGATTGGTATTTTGAGTTTGCAAAGTAGCGAGCCACTTTAACACCATGCTGATATCAAAAGAAAATTCTGCACCACACAACCGTCTAATTCCAGCAGCCAGAAAATCCCTTCTGACATTTATTTGAATCATCTTTATTCTTATGAGAATACTGTAGAGGTGCCAAAGCTTTGGGAACAATTGCCTTTCTCAGTCCCACTATCTATAAATACTTAATCAAGAAGGAACACTTTACCACAAACTGTTTATGCTGAGACTCAATGTGGCAGCACAGTGATTTGGCTTCATTAGCTAACTTCTAAATATTGATCTGTGGGAGAAAATAAAGAAAATTACAGATTTATCTGTAGTTACAGTAATGACAGTTTAGACTAGAAACTGGAAAGGACATTATTATATGATATTTTTAAAAAATCATTAATTCACAGAGAAGAGAGCATAACTTAAACACCTAACTGGCTGCTCGTAGGTAGTAGTAATACAAGTCAAATAAAAACCTGGATCAGAAACTTGACAACCTCTTGAAACTAAGATTACTTTTGAAAATTGATCTACCTCTACATTAGGCATTTTCAGTATAAGCAGCACAGAGCTGCACACCCCTGCACAAAGCCAAAAACCTTCTAGACATTACAAAATATTTCTATCACAAAAACAGTTTCATTAAAGCTCTCACATCACTCTTGACTTGCCTTACTTCAACAAATTAACATATCCAAATTTGCCTAATGAATTATGCATTTCTAGTTCTAAACAAAAGAATGTGAACTTGCAATGAGATGCTGGATGCACCTGGAAGGGGAAAAAGAATTCTGCTAAATGCAACAACCAAACCCACAGAAATTACCCAGGTCTTTTTCTCATAATAAATTCCACAACGTTAAACAGGATCACTTATACATTGGTTACAGTTCCCAGTCAAAAGTTACAGTTTTATTTCCCAAAGAGGAAACTAGTAGGCAATGCTAAGATTTTGGGAGTTATTTCAAAAAAGCCTCAGGTAGTTATCAAACAATATTAAAATGTGTGGTTAATATTATTTTTAGAAGAAAGTATTATCTGCATCAAAGGAACCATTTTTATTATTCAATGGATGGACTAAACACCAATGATCCTACTGAAATTATCTGCAGCATATGGTATCATGCTGTTTGGGTAAAGGTTTC